AAGAAAAATGAAAAAGTAACATAAATATAATGATAGATTTGAGTCATTTGACATTGTGGTTGATGAATGGAAGATTATAAATAAATAAAATTCTAGTAGTAAGTTCGGTCACTGTAAAAGCTAACATAAACCTGATATAAGTTTTTTTACCTACTATTTAGTTTGAAAGTTAATGATCAATGAGTTCATCTGCAAAAAATCGATTTTGAATTTCTAAGAAGAAGATCGCTAGCTAGAAATCTGTCAAAATTGGGGAGACGAAGAAGATCGCTAGCTAAAAAAAGTCTGTCGAAAGGAACCGTTCGTTTATTACACAAAAGATAGAACAATGCCGATCAAAGAGAGAGAACAATGCCGACCCATGAGGTACACGATTTCAGATTTTTATACTTGAGCAACCGATCCCAGTTAGATAGTTTTGATGAAAAACAATTAGTAGTTGATGAAGAAGAGAAGAGATTCTCTATTGTTTACAACTCTTTTAATGGTTTTTGATAGACTTTGGTGAAAAAAATCTTATAAGGCAAGGTGATTTGGGGAAGCTTTTTGTGAAAGTGAGAGTTGTTTCTGTTCATCCTAATAGGTTTCAGACTCTTGTGTGGCCGTAATTAGCGTGATTGTATGTCTTTTGCACATTTAGTTTCGATCATCTGGATGGTTTCTCTATCTTGTGCATAAGGTACATATAATAAATAGTTAAAAATAGTTTAATGAAAGATTATGTTAGGAGTATGAATTATAGAGTTCGTATAAAATCAACCATTTTTGTATTCTTTATGTATAAAAAACCCGAAAGTTCCCTAATTATGAAATTATATCAACAAAATTTGGACAGTCACATGACAGTTAGACTGGATTGATTCATGAGCCGAAATTCACAGAGACGTCTTATTTGTCTAGCATTCAAATTAAATGGTCCACCAAAATCTCATAATTTTTTTTTTAGTTTCTTTTAGTTAAATCAATAGATTGAGTTTTGACCCCAAAAAATCAATAAATTGACATGTAGTATATAATTTACTTGGATTCGTTGACCAAACAAATAAAATTAGATACTTGTCCTGATATCAAAATCAAATGTATTTTTAGTTGGACGGTGCAAATTATCTTTGAAATAATAATTTTTTTGTATTACCTTATCATATAATAATTTTTAAAAGACAAATAGATGGCAAAACAGTATGGTGTTAGAATGCAGAGCTTATGAACTATTTTGGGAACTAGGGTGTGATCCGCGCTACGCGCAGAATTTACACTATTATTAAAAAATTAATATGTAAATTTTTTTATTATTTAATTATTAATATTTTATATTGGGTTAATAAATAATATTTAATATCAAAATTTGAATATACATATTTAAGAATAAAATTTAAATCGTTACAGATTTAATATTGGTCTAATTTAACAACTTTAGCTGTAAAAATTATATTAAATATTATACAATAATTCTCTATTTTTAAATTTGAATCAAATGTTTATTCATAGAACATTATTCTTTTTCATAAAAGTTTCATATGATTAATGTTAATTCAAGATACACTAATATTTAATATCACATTCATGATTAATTTTTTTTTATCTCTCTTTCTCTCATAAATGTAATATACAAAAAAATTTGACGTAATTTTGATTTAACCTTCGCTTACTTTTCTATAAGTCTTTTTTTCTCAACCTTTTAAACTTGTTTTCATCAGTGTAAGTGTTGTCGAATTTTTATAAAACTTTGTCTATTTTCTATATGAAGATTATGTTGAATATGCTCTCTAAAATTTGGAATCTCATTCGCTTAGACATTGAATTCTAACTGTGAAAATGTATGTTTTTGTTTTTTTCTTATAACCTATATAAGTAATATTTGTTGACAAAATAAATCAATACTTTTTTTCTCGAACTATAAATATGACATAACTACAATTATTATATTAAATTTTTAACTTAATCTTTGTTATCTTCTCTATAATTCATCTCTCTCTCTCAGCTCTTTAGTGTAAGTGTTGTATTCAAAATTTTGTCTATTTTCCATTCAAAAATTATGTTGAACATGCTTTCTAGAATCCTGTTCACTTAAAATATTGAATTCTAACCATAAAAATGTATGTTTTTTTCTTGCTTATAAAATATATAAGTTTATTGCATAGTTATATATAATCTTTGTTGACAAAAAAATCAATAATTTTTTTCTCTAACAATAAATACGACATAACTACAATTATTAAATTAAAGTTTTTTTATCTCAGTATATAACTTAGTTTTTATGATTAAATGACTTTTCATATTGTATTTAAATTTTATTATACTAACAAATGTTAGTTATTATAAGAATTGAAAGATTGAAGATCATAAAACATAATAAATCAAATAAAATTTGATGATGTGTCACCATTTGGAGATAATAGTGGATGAGGTGGCACCCTAAGAAGAGAGCAACTTCTAGTTTATATATAGGGTTTTGTGCAAGTTAACCAGTGAACTAATTTTTTTTTGCAAAATCAACTCTCAAGTAATTTCGGTGCAAGTCAATCCTATCACCAACAAAGTCACTCGCAATATTGGATATGCGTATATCGTCGACGTCGACAATACCGGCAAGTGTTAGAAAAGAGACGAAATGATAAAACAACATCGTTGTAGATTAAATAAACGGCATGATGTTTTCACAATAGAGTGCTATACAACACGACTGCGTTTCTCATATATGTGTTTTCCCCAAATCGAAATCTATGGTTCATCTGACTTAGAGGCGATTTAGAGGATTCATTGACGTCGTATCGCCATTCAGCAATAAAGGTACATTTCTTATCCATAATCTATTGCTTTAGATAATAGGGTTTAGGAATCGTGGTAATCATGTATGTTTTCCTCGTTCAATGATAATTTTGGGTTCGAGATGAGTGTCTTGAGCAGAGTATTTACAATAAACTAAATACTTATGGATTTTTATTGAATTGTCTATGAAGGAGATGGGTCAGTATAGTTACACTTGGAGTTCTTCTGATGGAGCAAGTGTGCGGTCCGATGATCGAGTGAGCAGACAAATAGGGATACCTCGGAACTGTTATTGTGGAAGAACCCAATCCTTCTCACCTCTGACTTGTCTGACAGTATGGGAAGGAGGTACTATGCTTGCGAGGAAGCAGATGTAAGTGATAAAATGTGAATGTGCATTGTGAATGTACTATGCTTGGGAATGTGCCTTGCCAATTTAGATTGTTAGATGTGACTATCTAGGTTGGTGGCTGTACTTTCTGGAAGTGGTGGGAAGAGGCGGTCATGGAGGAGTTAAGAGAAATTAAGATGGAGAAAGAAGAGCTCGAAGATAGGCTTCGTTTAATCACCCGTGATGAAAAAGGGGACCTTGTGGATCATCATATGATGTGGGCTAATGTTAACCGCAGTCGTGATGAAGTTCTCCACCTCCATGTTCTTGCCCAACAAGCTGCCCAACAAGCTAGAGAGAAGTGTGAAGACATGAGGATGGTGGTGGAGGAGCTCCAGAGTCGTGATGTAAGTGGTGAAGTTGAAAGAAATGGTTTGGCTGTGAAGGAGATGAAAAATCTCATTGTGATAGCTATTGGTGTGGCCCTTGTAACCTTCATGGTTTTGCTTATTAAGTAGAATCGTCCCACCAAATTTCTATAAACTTAACCTCCCCACCCTTTTATTTTAATTTTCGGAAAAGGGTGGTTGAGTCTTGTTATTGTTGTTGTTTGTAAAAATTTGAAGTTTGAAGTTCAACTGTGGTTCAATTGTTGTTGTTTCTAAAAACTTGAAGTTTGAAGTTTGAAGCTATATTGAGAAATAATATGGGGTTCAATTGTTGTTTGTGAAATATATTGAGATAAAAAATCATACCAAACCAAACTAAACCAAATCAAACCATAATTTCTGAAAACTAAAATAAGGAAGACGGTACCGTTTTGTTTTGTTTAGTTGAAAAGAGAAAAAAAATCAAAAATATATATCGTCTGCTTCGTCGAGCTGAACACAAAAAAATTAGGGGAATTTAGAGAGCTAGGGTGTCTGAGAATGGCTACCTCATCGAATCGACAGTCTCCGTCGGCGAATTCAGGTATAATTCATTAAAAATGTTAATCGAAATGCTTCATTTTTCAAATGGATCTTTACTTTCTCTTATAACATTATCCATCCGAATATTGCAGGTTCAAGTGTGAGTCGTGGTGTTCGTGGAATGCCCAATTCTTGTAGATGTGGAGAACCTACTTTGATAAGAACTTCAGGAACTGCTCAAAATCCGGAAAACTATTTTATTGTTGCCCAAAAGGATCGGTGAAGGTAAACATTTAATCAGATTTTCGGAGTTGTCTTCTTAGTAATGTGATGTGAAATAGTAACATGATTTTGTCTTCTTATGTTGTGCAAGGACAACTATCATTTGTTTAGATGAGTTAATGGTAGAGGAGATTGAAGACATGAAGGAAACGGTAGAGAATTTAGAGCTTGAGACCAGAACTTTGGAAGCCAAGGTTAATTGCTTTGAGAAGGATATGAGACCCATGAAGAACATAGTTCTTCGATGTGAGAAGAACATAAAGTCAATGAAAACCAAAATACAAGGATGTGAGATAGAATTTAAGAACATGGTAAGAGAGATACTTTTCCTAAAGAGTATTATGTGTGGAGCTGTTGTCATCGCTAGTTGCTATTACTTTTGGGCATAGTTAGATCTTGAATCAAGTGTTGTTGTTGAATCAAGTTTGTATGAACTTTTTATTATCTTTATGGTGTTCTGTGTAATGAAGAAGAAAACCGCAACTAAATAAAATAGACACATAAAAACAAAGGTTCACACATTGCAAATTCAGAACACAAAAGTGAATAAGGTTCAAACTTCAAATACATAACAAGTTCAAGAACACAAAAATGAATAAGGTTCAAACTTCAAACACATAACAAGTTCAAGAACACAAAAGTTGAAATTCTTCATGGCTTCAAACACAGAACAAGTTCAAGAAACAAATGCGGACAAGTCTTCACGGCTGCGATGACCCACTAGCACGGCCACGGCCACGACCACGACCATGTCTACGAGCTACATCAAGCTTTTTTTGTTCTCTTGCATTGTAGAGTGTGCTAGGTAGAATTGTGTTGTCCCTCGCGTCGGTCACAGACCTACCAACCTGAATGTAGTCATCACCTGTTACAGGACTTGTGAATATACCATAACCCTCCTACATTAAAAACAAGTGTTAGTGTACCATACATAATCAAACCATATGTTACCAACTAGTTTTAGTATACTTACTCGTGGGATGGTAGTTGGCCCTCTGTCATATGTAGGCTGAGAAGACGAGGCTCCCTTTTGTGGCTTGATCGTTTCATTAGAAGGCTGAGAAGATGAGGCTCCCTTGTGTGGATACTTGCGTGGCCTGCCTGGCTTCCTTTTCGGCAATGCAGAGGACAAACTTGGAAGATCTTCAGCAAGCTGAGATAAAGACTCACCTTCAGCAGACTGAGAGAAAGACCTACCTTCAGCTTCACCCCAAGGCCTCCAAATCTCATTCTGAACAGGCTGGGATAAAGAAGCAGGTTCAGCAGAATCCCAAGCCGAAGCTGAAACAGCTAGAGATCCAGGTTGCTGAGCAGAATCTGCAATAGGTCTCACACGCGGCCTACCTGGAGGCTTTTTTGGAGGCTTTGGTTTTTCAGCATTTTTACATCTGCTCTTATTGTGGCCTTCTTCACCGCAATTGCCACAATGCTGAAAGCAAGAAACAATTCCACAATAATAAGAAACAACATTATTAATCACAAAGCATTCTCATCAAGAAATAAGAAACTTACAATTTTGATCCCTCTTTTACCAACTCCTGGTGCTTCTTTCTCACCCTTCTCTTTCTTTCGCTTCTTCCCTGGTGGTCTGCCTCCTGGACTCTTAAAGAAAGACGGTCTAACCATCTCATCAGTGGTTATCTTCCACAAATTCATTCCATTGACAGGACCCATAGGAATCTCATAGCATCTCTTAAGGTTCTCAGTCGAATACCAACTGCTAATCAAGGTCCTAGGATTTTGATCTGCATTTTTCTCTAGCCTAAGCGCAGAACAAATGTGGGAACAAAGTATACCACTGACAAGAAATAACCTGCAGCTGCAATTCACCTCATTTCTAAGATGAACAATGTACCTCTCAGTATTTTTATAAGTTACCTCATACTTTCCAAGTCCACAAGAAAGAGGCATACAATATTTCGCCAAGTCAATCTGTTGATCAAGTAAAGCAATTGCTCTTGGACTGAAATCTGATCTTGATTTCTCAGCTTCTAATCGTTTCTTATCACACGACACCATAACACTCGTTCTGATCATCTCAAGCATCTCCACTATGGGCTTCGTTCTAGCTATCCTAATAGCTGCATTGAAAGACTCACCCAAATTATTTTCCACAGCATCACATTTGGAATACCCAGAGAAATAAGCCCTGCAATCACATATAAATAGCATTAAGCACGGAAATATTTCTCAGCATAACAGAAGTACAATTTAGACTTACCTTGTCCATGGAACCCAAATGTTTATCTTTAAATCAGCGTGTGCAACCGGATCATACTCCTTTAACTCTTTCATTTTCCTTTCAAATGCTAATGGATAATATGAGTCTGCAGCAGCCCAAAATAAGTCAACCAGCTCACTTCCCGAGTGTTTCTTCTTCCAGCAAACGTGAACATGTCTGGCACACATCCTGTGTTCAGCATATGGCAGCAGAATTTTCACAGCTCCAATCAAACCCTTCTGCTGATCACTCGCTAAAGTCAGCCCATTCCCTGATCCCAAGGCTAAGTCATAAATGATGCTAAAAAAACCATAACCAGTTATCCTTACTCTCGACATCAACAATGCCCCAAGCGATCGGAAACATTTGATCATTCGGATCTCTACCACAAGCCACTAACAACATATCGTCCATTCTCCATTTCAGGAAAGTACCATCAAGATGAATTATTCTTCTGCAAGCAGCCTTCCATCTGTCTTTCAAAGCAGCAAAGCATACATAGAATCTATAAAACTTTGATTCTCGTACCTCACATTCAACTGTAGATCCAGAATTTGATCTCTTCAACTCGTAAACATAGTCATGTAGCCTCCCAAATTGCGCTTCTTGCTCTCTGTCAAAAGTCTGCAAGCATCTCAACATTGTCCTCTCACAAATCGTCCAAGGTACATTGATGTTGCATCTGAGGAGCTTGTTCTGCAGTTGCATTGCTGAAATGTTTGGATTCTCTCTGAATTCTGCAATGTACAACTCAGCTATTCTTGCATTTGTAAGCAGACTCACCTTCCCACACCAAGTGCAATTGTGCTCTTCTTGAAGCGATCTAACAACCACCCTAGGGGAGCTGCTGTTGATAGATGCATATATCCTCCAAGGACAATCCTTTTCAGCACAAACTGCCAGAACACGCTTGCTATCTGTCTTCTTGTACCTAATGTTCATTTTTTTCTTCACAGCATACTTAGTCAAAGCCTTTTTAAAGCTGTTGATGGTTCTGTACTGTTGAACTATCTCAAACTGCTTATACTTGCTATCATCGACATCTATCCTACCATCATCCTCACTCTCACTGTTATAGTCATCAACCTCAGCATAGACATTAGGAATACCATCCTCATCCTCTACATTTTCATCAGCACTATCATCATGAGCATTATCACCATCAGCATTATTAGCATACATATCTTGTTCAACATCCTCCTTATCAAGTCGCTGATATTGAACCATCATTTGCTCAATAAACGGATCATCACTTCTAACAACAAAAAGAGTTAACGCACCTGCGGCAATACGGGCCGCCTTCTGCATTGTCTCATCGTCCTCTATATCTTCTCTCTCTATGGTTTCGGGTGGAAACCAAGAAATCTTGCTCATGTTGTCTTCATAACCTATAAAATCAACCAAAAGCATCAACACCTTCTTCATATTGAATCCTTCACAGACGTGTGTCCCACCTTCATGAGGATCCCCTCCAAGATAAGATCCATCGCGAGCCCAGTAGCCGCCGGCGTTGAAGAACAGATCGAAGCTCATCGTTCTTCTTCACCCCTTTTTGCCAATTTCAACTTCTCTTCACACAAAACCCAGATCGAGAAGCATTAAGCTCCCCTATTTCAATGCAATCTCTCTCTCCCAAATCAATTTTGACAATCTACTTATCTTTCAATCCGTTTTCTTCAAACCCTAATAATTTTCCCCCAAATCGATTTTTCCCGTTTTCAGCTAAGTTATTCGCGGGTTTTGCCATTTTGTAAATCTCAAAACGGCAGCAAACACGAAAACATCTTGCCGTTTATTTAATCTACAACGGTGTCGTTTTATCATTCTGTCTCTTTTCTAACACTTGCCGGTATTATCGACGTCGACGATAGACGCATGTCCAATATTGCGAGTGACTTTGATGGTGATAGGATTGACTTGCACCGAAATTACTTGAGGGTTGATTTTGCCAAAAAAAATTAGTTCACTGGTTAATTTGCACAAAACCCTTATATATATCAAAATTTATGTTGAACATGCTTTCTAAAATCCTGTTCACTTAAGACATTGAGTTATAACCATGAAAATGTATGTTTTTGTTTCTTTCTTATAACATATATAAGTTTATTGCATACTTATAAATAATCTTTGTTGACAAAAAAAAATCAATTTTTTCTCTAACTACAATTATTAACTTAATTTTTTTTAGATCAGTATATAACTTAGTTTTTATGATTAAATGACTTTTCATATTATATTTAAATTTCATTATACTAATAAATGCTAGTTATTTTAACTATTATTTGAGAAGCAAGTTTAATGAAAAAAACTGGTGTGATCACCTTAGCAAACGTTAGTGCAAAACAATGTCACCTCATAAATGTGACATGGCAAATTTTCAAAAATAAACAAAATATTTTGATTGGTTAAGTTAAAACTAAATAAAACTCATTTTTAAATAAAACAAATTTATAACATATATAAATTAATTCTCATTATATAGCAAGAATTCATAATTATAAATAAAATAAAAAATAAATAGATAGAAAAATAAATTATAAGTATCATGTTAGCTAAATTTTTTATTATAATACTGTATATATGAATAAAAGTATAAATAAAAGTAAAAATGAATCTTTACGACTTCAGTTTTATGTAAAAATCTCAGGCTATATTTTTGGTTTAAAATATCTTCAACCCACCTTTATTTTAAATCTTCTAATTTAGAGGAAAAAGAAAGGTTGTTATTTTTTTCTTCAATTATAGAGAAAAAAATAACAATCTTTTTCCTGTAAAATAGAAATAGGTTAGAGAGAAGTCCACTTATATTTTAGAAGACAATATAAAAAAAATACATTGGAGAGAATCTTAATAATTAATTATTATTAAATATTAAGAAAAAAAGTGTGAGTCAAAGATGAAAAACAAAAGAAATATGAATAATTTTGATCGATTTTAATTTTTTATTTGAAATATTTAAAAATATTATCTTATATTTATTAATTATGTAATGCATATATTTTTTTAACATATTAAAACATTATTTTATGAATCAAGTTTTGTATATGTTGTGATTCATTATGTTTTATATTAACAAATATATGAAAGTTAGGAACAGATAAACTTTTAATTTTTAATAACATTCAAATAACAATCAAATATTAAATATATTATTTTATATCTTAAATTATACACATATAAATTTAGATCTGATTGGTTTAAACGATTCAGTTACACAGAGTATGTGGAAGCGAGTGATTGCGGATTATAAAAAATTTGACGAAGAAATAAACGTAGAGCTATCGGAGAATTTTATAAAATATGATTTCACAAAATTTATAGTAAATTTTAATTATATTTTTATTGAGAAACCATATATCATCAAAATCTGAAAAATAAGAAACTTTGATTAAATACAAAATGATATAAATGGTTTTCGTGATTATTGTTAAACGTCAATAAATGCATCGTCTAAAAATATAACGTTTGCGGAAATACCAGAAAAAACTTATCAACACCTAAATATTACAATTCACTCATTTCTTACTCATACATACATGCATAAATATACTTATTATTATTTACTTTTTAAAAAACCAACCATATATTATGAATATATATTACAAAACATTTACTTTGTTATTTTCTTTTAATTTATAAAAGTCATACTTCAATTTTCTTACAAATATGCGTGTAGATATAAACATTAATTGTGCAAAAGTCAAACTTGAATGCAAACTTGTCGTGCATATATTTTGTTAACCTTGATTATAGTCTAATTTTATTTTAATTTTAGTTGCTAGACAATTTATATATTTTTTAAAATCTTTATATGTCCTAAGAGCGGTGAGGTGGTTGGAACGCACGAATATGCAGGCTAACCATCTACCCACTCTTAGGATAAATAAATATGGTAGAATTCATTTTGGTTTAATTAGCAATAGGTCAAGGAAAAATGTTTACTTAAAATATATATATTGGCAAGATTATATTATGTAAAGAGAAAAAGAAAATATTATATAGATAATATTCAAAAAATATTATAAGAATTTAATTATTATTTAATATAACTATTATATTTGCAATTATATACTACTGTAAACGCTAGGAAAAATAAAAAATTCTCCAAAAGATACAAAACGATATGAAACGTTTGTGTGATTGTTGTTGAACACTAAAATTATATATGTATAAAGACATAACATTTACATAATGTATATGAAAATTAATTAATACTTAAATATTACAACTAATTATATCTCTAAAAAAATTATACTTGCACATGCAAAAAAATTATACTTGCACATGCAAAACAATTATTCCAAAAATAATAACTAATTAAATTATTATATATTTTAATGTTTTTCCGTTTATTTAGTTACTATATTTACATTTTTTATCCAAATAAATATTTTAAAATCTTGTTAATATTTTTTATCTTTATTTTTGATTGAAATATATAAAATTTTATATCTAATTAAACGTTATTTTTTTATTATCAAATGTTTATTATTTTATTATTAATATATAATTAATTATATATAAATAAAATATATTCAATAATATATTAGTCATAATTAATCATATAAAATGTTTTATAGCATGCACACAGTGCAAGCCGATCACCTAGTTATAAGAATTGAAAGATTGAAAAACATAAAAAATAATAAATCAAATAAAACTTAATAAAAATATTTGATGATGTGTCACCATTTGGAGATAGGAGTGGATGATGTGGCAGCCTAAGAAGAGAGAACTTTCTACTTTATATATATAGACTAGGTATATAATACGCGCTACGCGCGAGTCGGTATTAATATTTTGGTTTATTTTTTTTAGCTCTTATCTTTATAATGATTAAAAATTATATATATATATATATATTTATAAAAAATTTCATTTATATAAGAGAATTTAATATATAATGTGTAATTTATCATATTTTTATTTATAAATTTTAAAAAAACTATTAGTTAAAATAATAACAATGACACCTATCGAATTATCCAACTTTGACGTACATATACATTTGATTTAGAGAAATATAATCTTGTTAAGATTCTGGTATTATTTTTTGTTTCCCATAGAATTTCTATAGTTCTTTTTTTTGAAGGTTTATGTGTTCAAATATTTAGTTTTTATTGAAAGTCTTATTGATGTTGTGTACTATTGTATATATAATCCATGATTCATGTTGATTCACATTTAATTTTGTTAGGAAGCTGTAATGATCATGCAAAACCATTTTTTCCTTCTGCATCATGTCTTCCAAGAGTTTTATGATAATGGTTACTTTTTTTTATACATGTATTGTTAATTGTTAATTTTTTTATTTAACTTTTAAATTTTTAAACCATATTAACATTTTTTGACTTAATAAATATGTTGATTTGGATCAATCAGATTGAATTTATTTTTTTTGTTGGACATAATTTGTTAAGTTAACTTTTAATGTTTTAATTATACTTGATAATTTTTGGTTGATTTAAAAGCTGATGTGGACCAATTAAATCAAGTTTTTTAATGAATGTGCTGACGTGGACTAATCAGATCGAGTTTTTTATTCCCATGTGGACGCCCTCAATGCACTGTCTTCAACTTTTTTATATATTACTAGGTATATAACTCGCGCTACGCGCGAGTCTATATTAATATTTTGATTTATTTTTTTAGCTATTATCTTTGAAATTATTAAAAATATAATATATTTATAGAAGTTTTCATTTATATAAGAGAATTTAATATATACTGTGTAATTTATCCTATTTTATTTATAAATTTTAAAAAACTATTAAGTAAAGTAATAACAATGACATCTATCGAATTATCTAACTTTGACGTACATATACATTTGATTTAGAGAAATATAATCTTGCTAAGATTTTGGTATTATTTTCTGTTTTCCATAGAATTTCTATAGTTCTTTTTTTCTTGAAGGTTTATGTGTTCAAATATTTAGTTTTTTTTTATTGAAAGTCTTATTGATGTTGTGTACCAATGCATATATAATCCACAGTTCATGTTGATTCGTATTTAATTTTGTTGGAAAGCTGTAATGATCATGCAAAACCATTTTTTCCTTCTCCATCATGTCTACCAGGAGTTTTATGTTATATTTTTTTAGTTTTCATTATTTTAATTGTTAAATAGAGTTGTTGTAAAAAATTTTAAATTGATAATGGTTACTTTTTTTTAAAGTATGCATTGTTAATTGTTAATTTTTTTATTTAACTTTTAACATTTTAAACCATATTAACATTTTATGATTTAATAAAGATGTTTATTTGGATCAATCAGATTGAATTTACTTTTTTGTGGGATGTAATTTGTTAAATTAACTTTTAATGTTTTAATTACAGTTAATAATTTTTGGTTAGATTAAAAAGCTGATGTGAACCAATTAAATCAAGTTTTTCCGTCCTAATCATAATTAACATTTTTATTTAATGAATATGCTGATGTGGACCAATCAGATCAAGTTTTTTAATCTCATGTGGACACTCTCAATGCACTATGCCTTCAACTTTTATATATTATATGATTAGGCTTTTAACTCGTGCTACGCGCGAGTCTGTATTAATAATTTGGTTTATTTTTTTGGCTAATATCTTTTAAATTATAAAAATTATAATATATTTATAGAAATTTTTTTATATAAAAAATAAAACATAATATGTAGTATTTCTTATTTTGTTTATAAAATTATAAATCTTATTAAATAAAATCATAGTAATGACACCTAACGAATTATCCAACTTCAATGTGCATATGTTTGATTTATAAAATGATTTTCTTACTAATTTTTTGGTATTTTGTTTTGTATCCTTAGAATTTCTATGGTTCTTTTTTAAAAAAAAATATTTATATGTTTAAATATTTAGTTTATTTACTAAATACCTCACTAATGTTGTGTGTGTATATATATATATATATAATATATGCTATATGTTGGTTCAGATTTACTTTTGTTAGTAAGTTACACTAGTCGTGTAAAGCTGCTTTTTGCTTCTCCACCAGATCTTCTACGAATTTTAGGTTATATCTCTATTCAGTTTATAAGATCTGTTTTATTTGCAGTTAACTATTTGCTAATATTTGTTTTTAAACATGTAAGATGATGTTAAGACTTCACTTTATCACTGTTTTATTTTATTTTTTGTGTGTTTATTCATGTTTTGATTTGAATATTTTATCTTTATATATTCTCATTTGAATTTGATTCATAACTTTTTCATATTATATTATTTAAATAAAATTCTAGAGGATGTTGCTCATGTGTTGTTCATGTTGACTAAGTTATAAGCAGTAAATATGTATACAAATCAGACTTTGTTACTTATTATATTTTGAATGTAAAGTTACTTGTGTAGTATTTTACTTTGTTAATTTTCCAACCAGACTCAACCAAGGTATTAATCTTTGTAAACTTAAATAATATGTTTGATTTAGAAATTTGTATAACCTATTCAAACTTTATATGGTTATTCATAGTCAACACCAATATTTTAGAAATCACGAATATTTTTGGAACTATATTTCAAACTAATTTGCTTCTTAGATCTTATTTTTTGTTATTTTAAATATCTTCGATGGTAATTTTATATTTTATTTTAATTATCTAATTTTCTGCAGGTTTGATATACTTAAAACATATATATTTTTAATTAATCTATTTTGTTATTGATTTTTCAAATATGTAGCATATATATTAATCTAATATCTTTTACATAAATGCTTTTTTTTGGTTAAATTTACTTTTAAAATTAATTAAAATGATACTTTGACATGCTATAACTGGTTATTCTAAATTTGAAGTGAACTTCTTTCAAAAACTTATACCATCATTTGATTTTTTTAGTTAATATTTGTTTGGTAGTTAGCCTAAATATCAAGCTAATTTTACTTTATATGGCTTTTTCCTTTTATAATTTACCTCTTTTGATGTTTATTTTTATTTTATTTTAACACACCATTGTTTTTAAAATATTGATATTTTAATGACATAAATTTTTTGTTAGTTAAATATTTTTATATGAATTTTTTAAGTAGTTAGTCAGATACCAAGTCAATATATTTTAAGTGTTTTTTTTAAAAAAAATATTTTGTAAAACTAAAATTTCGTTTTAGTTTTTTAGTTAATTATTTTTTTAATATCGATTATTTTAAATAATTAGCTTAAATATTTATATTATTTTTGTTAGTTAGGGTTTTTAGTATTATTTAAGTTTTTTTATTTTCTTATTTATTCTGTTTATATTTATTTTGTTAAATAAATAACATAAATATTAAATTAACATCCTTTTTTGTTAATTTAACTTTCTCGATATGGACTTTCATTTTAATCGTATTGACATGTTGTAAAAAATAATTTATGTTTTGATTTTTGTTAGATAAACATTTTTTATATTGTTTTCTTCAGTAATTAGCATAAAGTATCATTTTTGGTTTGTTAAGATTTTTGTGTTAATTTTTAATATTTCCTCAAAAATTATAAGTTTTAGATGACTTTTTTTTGATAATTTAAGATTAATGTTTTTTTGGTAGTATTGATATTTTTAAATAACAATTTTATATGTTTATATGAAAATTTAATCTTAATATTTTTTTCTAAATAATTACACATTTAAAATATATATATGCTAATTTTTTTTAATTTAACTTTTTTGTTATTGATTTACATATTTATTTTTGTTAGTTTAGTTTTGTGACAATGAGTTTTCATTTTATTTTCACAATTGATTTATACTTTTGACATAAATTTATTTTATTTAGTTAAAAAAATATCTTAAGTTTCCTGTTGTGATAATTTTATATTTTATATGTTTTAGTTTATTTAAATTATTAATACTATTTTTAATTTTTTATGTTTAATAAAAAATGCTGATATAGACTAATCAGATTGAGTATATATGTCTTATGTGGACGCTCTCATTGGCCTAATACATCAATACGGATCACAACTAATATATTTTAAGTTAGCAGTTCAGGTTTTTAATTGTTTGTCGTGATTAAAATATTAAAATAATTTAATTATGATTTTAAATATAGTTTTTAATAATTTTGTTTAATATATATGATTTTTCTTTCATAATCTATTTATATGTTAATTTACCTTTTTATTGTTAATAAAAAAATAAGATATATTTTCAAAACTCTTTTTTTATTAATAACTAACTTAAAATTTAGAAATTTTTCTAATAACAACAAAAATAAAATAAATTAATATTTAAAAATTTTCCTTATTATAATTAAAATGAATTAATTAATTTTAATATACAATATATAATTAACTAAAAATAATGATAATGTGTACCAATAGAATTGAATCTTTAAATTTTACGTGAATGGTATGATTATATGATGATGATGTTTGTCTGTTTCAGAGAGCGAGATTGAGACGACGACGTTTAGAAATGAATCCCCAGAGTTATTGGGCCTACTGTTGTGTGAAAACATTAACTATCTCATTCGTCTTCTCTTCGGACTCTTCCTCCATAGACTCTAAGAGAGATGGCGACGGCGTCGTTTAGGTGGATTCTGCAGCTTCACCGAGACGTACCCAAAGCGGCTCGATTCTACGCGCAAGGTCTCGACTTCTCAGTCAATGTCGTCACGTTACGCTGGGCCGAGCTCGATTCTGGTCCTCTCAAGCTAGCTCTTATGCAATCTCCCAGGTCTTAATTTAATATCCTTCTTTTTGTTTTGTTCTACACCCTGTTTGATCATTTGCCTCAGTGAAAACTTTTCTGGGTTTGTTCGTCTAAAGAAATTTGGGTTTGTTTCCTTTTCTTCAAACGCTTTATCTGATGAAGCTGCAAGCTTTGTGGTTTTCCTTCAACTCAAATTCTCTATACTTCATTGCAATTGTAGAGATTTTATGTTGGATCATTTGACAAATGACATTTGTGCAAGAGAAACTTATGAGTGAAGAACACGCTTGATATTTAGAATTTTCGATCTCTGATAACTATACTTTAATTCAGGTGTTTGTGTTGGTTCGATTACAATGCTGTTTTTTTATGACCCTGTCCTAAAGTCTCAGTTTTTATCATCCTCGTTGGTCTTTTACATTTGTATTCGGAGAGTGCGAGATTGAATTTCGGAAATGACACTCCGTTTTAGACGGATTAGATCTATGTTTCTCTCTCTCTCTCTCTCTCTCTCTCTCTCTCTCTCTCTCTCTCTCTCTCTCTCTCTCTCTCTCTCTCTCTCTTGTTTGGATTAGGCTTTTTGTGATTTCCTCTGAGAAGATTTCTCTCAGACTTTCTTTTTTCGCAGCGATCATGTTGCTGAGAAGGGGAACTCATCGCTTCTATCGTTCACGGTCGCAGACATTAATACAACAGTGACCAAACTCATGGCACTAGGAGCAGAACTAGATGGCACAATCAAGCATGAGATACATGGAAAGGTAATAAGAACTCGAGTTTGTTCTGAAGATTTTCAAGTATCATGTTTGTGAGACTTACTTTCTTAAATGGCATTTTGAAGAATTTTTGCGGTTTGTTATTTTGGTTAACTAGGTCGCAGCTATGAGATGCCCTGATGGTTACATGTTAGGCCTTTATGAGCCTGCATAAGCATATGAATAGAGGTCTAGCCTGCGAAGAAGCCAATTCTGCATAGTGTAGGAGATTGTTGTGTGAACTTGGGGATGCAAAACTCATCTCTTGATCAATAAAGAGTTGTTTATTGCTCTTAAGGTGTTAATGTCACCTTCTCATTCGCCTTCTTCGTGAGATTTGGATTTCAATCACTAATCCAATATGTTCCTTAAAATGATTAAAACAAATTTTTCATTCCAAATTTCTACGATATCATATAAGATGATATTTCAATCTATCGATTAGAAATTTAGTTCAAAGATGTAATATCCAAAAGGGTTTGAGAAATTATAACTTGTGTACTTTAATTATAAGTTTTTAGTTCAAAGATGTAGTATCCAAAAGAGTTTGAGAAATTATAACTTGTGTATTTTAACTATAACATTTTAGCTGTAGAGATTTTAAATATAAAAATGTGATTATTATTTTAAATATTTATGAAAATGTGATTGGTAACAAAAGTTGTACAAATTGTAAATATTACTTCAAATATTATTAATTCTATTATCAATTTTGTAATGATATTGAATTTAAACCTCCTCTATGCATCAATTTCAGATGATTGACTAAATGCATAACTAGAAATGTAATATGCAATATATAGCTTTAGAACAGTAAAGTTCTTTGATGAAATGCTGACATGTGAGATGTTGCTATCTTCAGCTTTGAGGATCTTTATCTCATGATCAACTAAGTTTGGACATGCTTATATTAGTAACTCCACATTTCTTATTAATGCTTGTTAGAGAAGGCCTATCCAGACTCTCAGATTCAGATTCTCCAAGCTAAACATTATGTCCTTTTGAACTAGGTTTAGATGAACAAAAGAGAGAGTAAGCAATGCTGAGAGTTGAAAAGACAGCTTGATAGCTGGAAAACTTTGCAATTAAAAACTTTCCATAGCGCTTTTATGATCATTCACACCCACAAAACTAAATTATCTAAATTCAAAGCTTCTTCAAATGACTGCAGAAAACTAATCACAAAATTCTTGAAATTGTGATAGAACTGAAGTTTGATGTATCATGATGAATGGTTGGATGAGTTTTCCAAAGGTTCCTCTACTGCATAGTAACTAGGCTCGTTGTACAGATGTATTTCCGAATAGAAACATACGATGACAAGATTTCAGTCAGGAGATGGTTGGGTAGATTGCAAACTGAAAAAGAAAAAAACCGGAGAGAGATCAAGTGATTGATTCAATAGTTATCACAAAAATATTTAAGATAAGATCATGTGCTCATACATGTTTTCGGGATACAACTCAACCACCACTGTTTTGCCTTGAAATGGCCTGCCATTGAAGGCGGATCTAGCCTTTGATCAAAAAAGCTTATTAACTCCCAGTGGTGTCAGATGATGATCTGGATTGAGTCGCAGGATCACAATATTTACCAATTCACAAGCTTCATTGTTGTATCTCATATCAGTCAACAAATCTTCGTAGGCTTCATAGCTTTCAAAATTTTCTTCTGCAACTGCATTACTTACTCGTATAATATTCATACGGCATTATTAAATCCTCAATTAAATTCTTTGATAAAAATCATTAAATCTTTTATTTACATCTCTTTCCTCGATATGAAAATTTAATTTCTGTTCAATCCAAAAATGTCAATGACTATTAGACCAGTTGTTCAACCCAAAAGTCAGTTTTCCCTTGAAAATTATAGATAAGTACATCCTAAAAGTGACAGTATCATTTCCACAATCGTTTGAAATTAACAAGATCCGTTGAAGTGGACTTAATGGGCCTTAGTGCTTTTGTAGTTGTGACTATATTTTCAATCAGCATTTAACAAAACTGCCATTCACGTTTTGGTGCATTTTTATTTTGTCTCCATGGTTTTAGTTTTATTTTTATGAAGTGGGTTTGATTGTTCAAAGATCTTCTCTAGATTTATGATACGTTGGGGACCATTGTGTTTGTAGTTGGTTACAAACAAATAGAACAAAATTGCGCACCGAATCCTAAATGTTGGACATTACCAATGCACTTTGATCTAGTGCTTAATTAGATTGTTTTTTTTTTTTGCAATTTTGAATTTCTTATAAATAAATTTTGTCTTTATAATAACTGGAAATAGTAATGTTGTTTGTTTCTGAAAATTTGAAAATCCCATTGATTAAATTTATAAACTTCATCATGCAAAAATCGAATAAATTCCTCTCAAATCTACCTAAACAGTTCTTGACGAAAATCTTCTCATATTTTCCAACTCCCATATACATCTTGACAAGCTAGATTACTAGGAAGTGGAAAAACATTTAGAAATCTCATCCAACAATACATCTCGAGGCACACTTACAGAGCTATCAAAATTTAAAGTTATTAGCAGCAATGCTGCTCCTCGAGGCTCCAAAATATAGTTCACTACTTTATAGTTTACATGAAACACGATATAGTTTTATAATATATTTCTGTGCAAATTTTTACTCCAAAAGAGCTGGTCTGACTGAGCTATATTTCCTTTTTGAAGAATAAATGACATTTAAATCAAACAAGTTTTCCAATTTTTGAACAGACGCTATTACGTTTCATTTCTAATTCATGTATTTGTTTTAGAAAGTATATATGTTCAATGCTTATTATTATTGTCTAAAGCTTTTTGTTCAATGCTTGTTATCTATTAGAAATCTTGTAATATTATATATGGTAAAACTGAAATGAAAACCTTTACCTGAAATGAAAACCTTTAACTGGATTTAGCTGGATTAGTAACCGTTTCTAATAAACCTACAAGCGTTTATTAGTAATATATATGATTTATTTTAATATTTAATAAAAGAACTAAAAATTGAAATAAATTGAAAGAATTCAAAAACAAATAACCAAAAACAAGATATATTCAATAGTTTTTATAAAAAAATGCTATCAAAATAATAACTGGAATTAGTTATTTAGAAAAAGAGGAATGATTCTTTCAATTATTTCAACACGAGTCGTAAACAGCGTAGTATATGAATTGACCTTGTAAGAGTTAAATACTCCTCAAAGACGATGAGTTGTTGAATTCCTTTGCCTGCATAAAAGATAAGTAAAGCCTGAACAAATTAATAAGCTAATTAATGTATAATAGGACTGAAAATATATCCCAACCTTAGAAGGTATATGGATTATGTTAAGAGTGTCAATATGTCTAGGCCCTAATCAAGAGGATGAGCATAGTATGCCTTCTCTTTTATATAACTAGATGTTGATCGTTGGACCTTTGAAAATTAAGTTACTTGTAACGATTCTTCCAATCCTCTATGATATTTTCGTCAAAACAGTCACAAATCATTCAACACTCAAATCAGTATCAAAAATAGCAAGTTATGAGCAACAAATATGATGATTCCAAGTCACAATTAAAATCGTAAGGTATAGTTCTTTATCTTCGTCACTCTAGAGAATAATGAATATTACGACGTATGATGCTTTTTTAATCTATAATTAATTTGTACTTTTAAGAAATTATGATAGAAAGAAGTTAAATGGCACACACGGTTATTGAATTATATATGTTATGGAGAAAAGAAACTTAGTGACAATTTTCTTACTATAATTAAAGATAGAAAATACTCTTAAAAGATTTGTTAAGTGTACCCAACCCAACTAAGCAATTAACAATTTCACATTCTCAGCCTCAGGTGTTGCTTTTCATCTCACTTTAGAAGAGAGATTTTGTGATGTCACATCGTCTCTACACACATATAAATGTGTATATATAATATATATAAAAACTTGTATAATATAATGAAACCTACACATTCTTCTCTTCATCACCATTGTCTCTTTTCAGTGTGCCAATGGGACTAAAGTCAAATACCATAATCCACCAACAATATTCTTTGTCTCATCATGTTTGCGAAATGGTGTATTTGTAATCACTAAATTCTTATAAAACTAAATCATATATTTTGTGATAAACGGAGAGGACACTGTAAACCATATGATATAGTAATTAGTCTTTCGAATTTGCATCTAACTATCTGCCTAATGAATTCATTCGATTCATATCGAAGTTATGTCATACTTACTTCAAATACATATAGTGTATAGCAGCCACTGTGAAAACAAATAAATCAATTAAAATCCAAAGTTAATACTTTAGTGATATTTTATACTTTACTGATATAAAATGTCATTTTGTTGAGTTGTTTTAACCCAAAGGTCCCAAACGGAGAGGACATTGTAAACCATTTGGTAATTTTCATCAGCCTGTAAATATGTGTCAACTTCACTTCTCTTAGGACTAGCCACGTGCCCAAAACAAGAAAATTCACACATGTTAATTAGAAAGAACAACGAGTTAACAATTAAGAAACATATTATACATGACACACACTATCATATAGTGGAATGGAAAAAGCTTGTCACCTATATTTGGCATACAATTGCATGCTTTAAAATAGCATAATTTTGATACTTCTTCGATTAATATAAATAATGGTATCTAATTCTTGCCTAAGAACACGCATACACATACATATAAACTTCAACTATCTTTAGCTAATTAAGTTTTATTTGGTATTCGGTGGAGATGTGGCATCATTACAAGAATCTAAGCATATATTTAGTCATGCTCCATGGATTATTATAACTTAGATTAAATGATAGTTTTGACTTTCGATTGTTTGTAGATTACACTCAGTAACCCCAATTTCAAAGAAGTATTCTTTCTCCATTAGATAATTCAATGGAAATCGCATGCTTTTCTTAATAAAATACCAGATGAAAAAAAATATTGCAATGGAAAATAAGAAAGTAGTACATGAGATCAAATTGTAGATCAATGCATGATGATAATGTTGACACTCGTCAAATGAATGTCGATCTTAATGTACGATTTTGCCCTCTTGAAGATACCCATGAGTGAGGATAGTTTAGTCATTAAAGGGTATTTTTCCAAACATGAAGAAGACATATCTAGGAACTTGTTGCAAAGAAAAGAGATCAAGACCCGAGGTGATGTTGTCGTTGAACACTGAGATCTCTTTCTCTCTCTCTTGTATATTTGACACTTTACAGCCCATCTTAGGGTTTTTTGGGGGGTCAAAACCCTAATTATTCAAACACATGAATAGAGATCATTTTTGAATATTTCATATCATTTTACTTAATTTATGGATCAAAAGATAGATCAATTTCTCAACTTTTAGTCCCTGTAGTAGCTTCTGATAGCTTATAAAGTATTTGCAAGTAAGTCACCTCAATTGAGCGAAAGCTATATACATAAAATATTTTACATGAAATAGAAAAGAG